AGTGCCGTTTTCGTCACTCCGCGCGGGTGACAGTCTTTCTCACACTGCTTCACTTGGCGGAGCAGCGATATGTTTGTGTATAACGTTTCGCGTTTGTGGAGTGCAAAAACTTACTGCGACATTTTATTGTATGTAATCGTATTATGTGTTATTTTGTATAAATAATTTACCGTGTATATTTGCAGATTTTAATCTTATAACATGTTCGTTGAAGGAATAAAATATTATTTTTAAATTTACATTCTTTGACGATTTATATTTTATAATTTCATGTTATTTTGTTAACTTTATTTTCTTTTGTTATAAAAGCACATTTGATTTTCCAAAATTTGAAAATATTTTATTTTTTCAACTAATATAACGTGTTTTAAGATAAAAATGTGCAAGGATACGCCTACATTATATATAGCAAATAAAACATAGTACAAATACATAATACAGATAAAATGCAACAGTATTTTTCTCGTTTTAGATGTAAATACCTTTCAAAGATCTTGAAGTAAAAAGTAAAGGATTTGAAGCTTTGTACGTATGAGCAAAAAAAGAAAATTTATAGTAAATTCAACAACACATTTTCCTGAGAAAACTGTGCGACAATCATGACATTAATATAACGCGGGGCTTCTGACTAACTCAACAGAAAGTAGTACAACTGTGTTACAGAGACCAATGAAACAATGAAGCTGACGGGCTAATGCCCAGGAAATAAAATTATTTTTTTGCGTGTGGGCGCCAAAATTGTAAATAAAGGTTTTTTTTTGCATTCAGACATTTGGAATAACATGTTATTTAACATAATAAAAGTCCTGGCCGCCCGCGTTTGCGTCACTTTTAAAAAACGGGACAAAAATGCGATTTTCCAAAATATCTGAAAGATTGAATGTATCAAAATAAATTTATATGTGTTTAGCAAAATGAAAGCTGACAAAATTACGAACAATTTGATTATTTGTTGAAGATCGTACGAGTAATACTTTCCGAGATACAATTTTTGTAATGAAATGTTATTTTTGGTCATTTCAAGAATAAATCGATTTTTCGCACTTTTTTCGTCTCGGATTTGACTACTTTTACGTAGAAAATACCTCTATGAAGATTGAAGGTCATTAAATTCCGTACAGAATCGTTTTTCCTTCATCATTGTACGATCAATAGTTTCCGAAATACGACGTTTTAAAGATACATAATATGACTCTCAACTTACTCTTAATTATTAGAATCTGAGTGTATTTATCTGTACAAATATGTAATGGAATTGTAAAAAATTAATATTTGTATTTTTCTCAAAACTTGTACGTATTTATATAAGATCTTAGTTGTGTACCACTCTCCATAATATATTTTTGGAAAAACAGCTTCTTGAAAAATTGTCTTAATCGAACATTTTCTTAAAAAACGTGTTCTTCGTTACTTTTCCATAAATATATATGTTTATACTGGATTTACGTAAAAAATGTAGTACATATAAATTAAATCTTATAAAATTTCCTTTAAAATGCTTGTTTTTATTTCCCTGTCCGCGTAAAATTGTGTGCAAGCTACAATTGTTTGAAGAAAGAGTTTTGTGCGATGATTTTGTGACTAAAAATTATGGTCCACAACTTATGTAAAAATGAAGCATTTGTAACAATGTTAGAACGATATTTCTGAGCTCATAATAATGCTCCCTTAGATTTTATGTTTGGTTCATATTTTTAGTACCAATACTTTTGATGATGCAACAGCGAAAAATACGATCGTATTCAGACCACTAATTCTGAAAGCTATACTATCTGGTGCCGCAGGCTAAGTATGTGATATGCCTTTTTTTTGTTCTCATATGTAATGTAATTTGTGAACATTACGATATTTGAGGCCGCTCTTGCTGAAATGTTGTCAAAAATTCTTGTTGGAATATTAATTTTGAAAAACCGCGCTCTCAATATATTAATAATTAGCGCTGCGATCGGAAAGACAGGTGGCTCCGACGCGACGGTGGGCCGCGAGCAATTAGCGACGAGACCGGCAGATCGTTTCCGGCTGCTCCGAAGCTAAGCACTTGTCATAGCTCCGTGAAACAAATTAATAA